ACCAGAGCTGGAACTCGTCGGGCTCGGAGGAGGATCCGGAGACGGAGTCCGGGCCGCCCGTGGAGCGCTGCGGGGTCCTCAGCAAGGTGAGCCCCGCGGGGCCGAGGGCCTCCCGCCCAGACTCACCTGCGGCCGGGCGGGCGCGGAGGCTTGGGGTGGGGCTGGGCGGGAGGCACGGAACGTGCCGGGGTGCGGGGCGGAGTGCTGTCGCAGGGGCTGGGCTGGGCTGGGGAGCGGGGACCTGTCCTCGCCTTGCCCGGACTCGCCAGGGGCGGCCGAGGCCCCAGGGAGGCGGGTGTCGACCCGCGATCCGCTTCGGACGGCCAGGTGCACGCGGCGACTTCAGAGCCGGGGCGGCGGTGGTCCCGGGTTTGGGAATCCGGGCGGGGTAGCAGCGGTGTCCGGACCACTGGGCGTGGGAGCGGTTCCGATCGGATCTCTCCCACGAGGCCGGTCTGGGGATGCCAAGCCGGGTAGGGTTGGGGCGCTCGGCGGACGCGTCTCTTTCGACAGAATCCGAAGCTACTCGCTTGGGTGCTGAAATCGGAGGTGTTAGACTGTGCCAGGTGAGACGGTGAGAGAGAGATGAATGTGGAGGACTTCTGAACCTTCCCTTTCACCCCTTCAGTTCAGAGAAGGGCTGTTGAATCGGCACGTAACGGGTACAGGAAACGTTCATAGTAACTTGGAACGTGTTAGTGGAGACCGACCTTTAGTTCAGAAAGAAGAGCGTTATCTAATAAGATATTTTTTGCGGCAAGGGGTCCGGGATCAGGGAAAAACAGTTTATTTTACCCTTTCTGTATTTCTAAAAACTCCCTTTTCAAAGTGTTAGCAAAGTAGTCGTTCGTAGGACTGTTCGTTGATGGTGGTCTTTCGATATTACATGGGGTTTTTGTTGTTGTTTAGTTTAGGTTTTTGCTGTCAGAAGATTCACATAGCTTTTTGGCCTCCTTTCTGCCTCCCTGTTAAACTTATAGAACGGCTGGAGCTAGCAGTTAACTTGCAGAGGGGGAGCATGGGCCAGCCTCTCAACAAGCGGGTCATGAGATACCGGGTCATGTGCAGCCACTGGCTCTTAAGAAATCACCCTGCTTCCAGCATTCATACTTTGGCAAAGCGTTTGGAAATCATCTGTGGGATTGTTTCATATTGGGCTTTTCTAATGTTTTTAGAAAGCTAAAGGGAAGGGGCCTAGGAAAGGCATGAGTATGTCAGAACTAAGGTTTGCAAGTGTTAACTTTAACATTGCAGAAAAGTTATGGTGTGTGTTGATACCTTGATCATTGGCGTTTCAGTGCAATGTTTTCAGTAAAATGAAGCTCCTCAGGGTTTCTTTAGATGAAATGTTTCTTATGATTTAGGAATCTGAATTGAACACATAGTGGTGTAATTTTCAGTTGGGAATAGTTATAAAATGGGTTCTTTGCTTCTCAGTGATTCTGATAGTTTCATCACTTTACTCATTAGATGAGAAGCAGACCGCCATATTAGCATTGTGGGGTGTTAAGTATTTTACAAAACAAGTTACATTTTTGACTTACTGATCATCACGTTTTTGGGAGGTGGGGGATTGGAGTGACTGATGGAAAAAGTCCCTAGTGTCTGAGTATTTACTGTATGCTGAGTACTGTAGATCAAAAAATGGAAAATTGCTCTCAGTATTTAAATGTGTAAAGCTGTAGTATTTGACCACTTCTGTAGAGGGTGAATAACTTCAATTTTGACTGTTGCTGCATATGTGGAATCAGCAGGAGTAAAACTTTTGGTATTCTTGCAAACAGCTAAAGAAAATTTTCCTGAAATCTAATAATTTGTGGTTATGTATAACATTTTCTGGAAGCTTTTAAATCAAGGGTATTCTAAATTGGATTCAAATACTCATACTGAGTATTGTACTTGTTTTTAAATTTAAATGACATATATTTTGAGTTCTTTGTATTCTCTGGTAATTTAAATGAGTTAGAACTAAGCCTTGTTCTTTTCCTTCTAATAAGTAATGTAGATAAATCCCAATACTCATTTGTTTTGATTTTTCCCCGCTAAAGTGGGGTGGATTTGGAATGGAGGAGGGGTAAATTTTTATTTATGTGTAAGCCCAAAGGGTTTTTTCCCGTATGGTTATCCGAAATACACAGAAATATGAAGCACATTTTTTATAAAATCACTTTTTAAGAGGGTAGGCTCCAAAGAGATTGGATGGGTAATAGTTCCAGGTAGTGTTATATCAGGATGAATCATGGTAAGGGGGACGAAGCCTGGATAAAAGAAAAAACTCACTCAACTTCTGAATTCCCTCCCCCCCTCATGGTTTACCTTCTGCTTCTCCACACACCTAATTTGGCTGAAATTCTGTCGTTAAGAATCCATCTCAAAATTTCCATGAAGCCTTTTCTTATTTTGCCAATTATTCGAGATCTCCTTCTCTTGAATTCCCATAGTATTTTCCTTGTAGCTTGCTTCTGGCTTTTATTCTAAATATATTTTTCTTCTTGAATTTGTGCTTTCTGGCCTATTGGCAACAGGAATATTTGATTTTCCTGCAGTGTCAAGCATATTGCCTTATCTGTATTTGTTAAATGGAAGAGTAAGGGAACATTATGAGAGCAGAGAAAAAGCAAAAAACCCGCCTTTCAGGTGTAATTATAGCAGCTAACATTTACTGAGTAAATGGTCCTAAAGCTTATGTAATTTGTTCCATTCTTTATGAAAACATAATGTAAAATTACGGATATATAGTTGCTGGGGACCCTCCTGTCACATTGGAAGGAGTTTGTTCTAGTGAGAGACACCAAAGCTCATTAACCATGCATAACTTTTCTTCAAACTGAGAAAACACTATGTGCCAGGCACTGTTCTAAGTCTGTTTTTGAGTTTAATCTAAAAGAGAGAGAGTTTAAAAAGAAAATAACACGGAGTAAGTACCTTGACCAAAGTCACACAGCTAACTTGCCTTATGAAGGGTGGTAAGTATAAGCAAATTAGGATTAATCCATGGATGGTCTTGAATGTCAGTCTAAACAATTTGTATGGCAGGCAATGGGAGGTTATTCGTGTAAGTTTTGGAGCTGGAGACTTAAAAAGATTAATATATAAGAAAAGTAGGCAAATATACTTAATAAGTAAATAGGTTTATATGAGTTACGAAAAAGCACGGTACTAAAGGTAAGGCCATTAAACCTTCTCAGGAACTCAGGAACCTGGTAATTTGATTGGAATACCTAAAGAATATGAAAAAGAAGGCAAATTATGGATTTAGCGTAAAGGAAAGGTGGGTAGGATTTGGTGATGGGCTGTAAGAGTTGAGAAGGAATAGTCAGGTATTGAGTATCTTCTAGGACTGCGCAAGGCATTTTCATTATTTTTTCAGCTATTCAAACAACAGGTAGAGAAACTAAAGTTCACAGAAGTTGCTTGTCAGAACTCTCCTCGTAGGAGTAGTAAAGTAGTTGAGTATGCTTAATCTTGTATCCACTTTTCTATTCATAGAATACTCTAACCCTGAGCAGTGCAGCCAAGAAAATAGGAACATAGGAGGTGCTTCTTATAAAAGGTGAATTTAGTTTTTTTTTTTTGAGTTGGAGTCTCTCTGTCGCCCAGACTGGAGTGCATTGGCCGCACCTGGCCACCGCAGCCTCCACCTGCTGGGCTCTGGCGATCCTTCCGCCTCAGCCTTCCGAGTAGCTGGAACTACAGGCACGCGCTACCACGCCCGGCTCATTTTTTGATTTATCGTAGAGATGAGGTCTCGCTTGCCCAGGTGGGTCTCGAACCCGCGGGCTCAGGCAATCCACTCACCTCAGACTCCCAAAGGCACGGGATTACAGGCTGAGCCACCGAGTCTGGCTGAATTTAGTTTTGTATGTAACTATCATTTATTTCAAATAGGTGTCTATATGGTGGTAAGTCAGAAGCAGTTAGAAATAAGAAAATGGTGATTAGGTAGCTGTTAGAATAAGTTAAACTGTCAGCATGGGTGCATTCGCAGGTTATAATGTTGGGACTTAGAAGAATTAAGAACTGAATGAATCACTAAACTTGAGAATAGGAAAATAAAGATTTCTCAATGAATAAAGAGCCTGAGCCAATGTAGTATATTTTGACATCCATTTTGAATTGGTTTTAGAATTTGGTAAAAGATTAATTATCTAGGTTTTTTGTTGTTGTTGTTTTTGTTTTTGAGTTGGAGTCTCACTCTGTCGCCCAGACTGGAGTGCAGTGGCACACTCCCGCCACCACAGCCTCGACCTGCTGGGCTCTGGCGATCCTTCCACCTCAGCCTTCCAAGTAGCCAGAACTACAGGCGTGCGCTACCATGCCTGGCTAGTTTTTGATTTAGTGTAGAGACAAGGTCTCCCCGAGTTGCCCAGGTCGGTCTCGAACCCGCAGGCTCAGGCAGTCCACTACCTTCGGCCTCCCAAAGTGCTGGGATTACAGGCTGAGCCACCGAGCCTGGCCAATTATCTAGTATTTTTACTTTGATGTGTTTATGACTATCATAAATTTTCATATGGGAAACAGAAGTAGAATTTAGCACTGATAGGCTTTTACTGCTTTTGATTTAGAAGGCTTCATACAGTCTTTGGTGTTGGAGAATGAGATACTACATAACTGAACCTTCTTTTCTATTGAATATGTTAATTATGACAGGGACCAAAACAATTTAAGTGTCCTGAAGGTGATGAAGAAGGGGATGAAAGCACACACAGAACAAAGCCAAACTTTAAGCCAGAATCTTAGTTTGGTTTTATTCTTCAAATGTTAGAAGATGCTGTGTTTTGTTTCTTACTTATAATATTGTAAGAATTACTGAAAATCATTATGCAGTCTAGAAAATCTCAATTTTTTACTTTTTATAATGATTTTAACTTTTATGTTTAGAATTAAGTTAGGACTTTGCACATTTTGATTTTAAAAGTAGATTTGTTTCAAAACGTTAGATTTCTAAAATACCTTTGTTTTTTGTTTTTCTCTCCTCTCCTCCTTCCCAGTGGACAAACTATATTCATGGGTGGCAGGATCGCTGGGTAGTTTTGAAAAATAATACTCTGAGTTACTACAAATCTGAAGATGAGACAGAATATGGCTGCAGAGGATCCATCTGTCTTAGCAAGGCTGTCATCACAGTAAGTTCATTTTCTTCTTAATTCAACAAATATTTATTGTACATCAACTATACACCAGGAAGTGTTCTAGAAGCTTGGGGTATATCTGTGAAAAAAATAGATAAAGATCTTTTCCCTTGTAGAACATACCTTCTAATATTTTTTCTTTTTTATGTATTCCAATTAAATATTAAGAAATAAAAATTCTTTTTAAAATTAATTTATTTGTTATAAAGATGTAGAGTACAGTTCAGGGTTAGGTATATAAACATTGTTCATGCAGGTACCCTTGTTGATGAGGTATGCCCCTCCCTCCCCTATCAGTTTCCCTCAACTGCCAGTCACACCCCCAACTCCCTGACAGTTTTCCACCACTGCCAATCACTTTCTTATAGCATTATAATTGTTCAAGGTCACCTTATGAGTGAGAACAATGGAACTCAGTTCTTTGTTTCTGTGATAAATCACTGAGTATGATTGACTCCAAATCCATCCAAGTTGCTGCCAAGTCCATATATTTGTCCTTTATAGCTGCATGATATTCCTTGTGTATATGTACCATATTTTTTTAATCCAGTCCAGCTTCAATGGGCAACACGGTTCCATGTTTTTGCTATTGTGAATAGAGCTGCAGCAAACATACGTGTGCAGGTATCTTTTCTGTAGAATAATTTGAGTCCTCTAGGTATATTCCCTATAGGGGAATTACTGGGTCATATAGAAGGTCAATTTCTAGTCCTTTCAGAAATCGCCACACTGTCTTCCAAAGAGGTTGTACTAGTCTGCATTCCCACCAGCAGTGTAGAAATGGTCCTTTTTCTCCACATCCTCGCCAGCATCTGTTGTTGTTTGTTTTATTAGTGATGGCCATTCTTACATAAGGGGTTAGGTGGTATCTCAGTGTGATTTTGATTGGCATTTCTCTTACGATGAGTGAGGCTGAGCACTTTTTCATGTGTCTGTTGGCTGCCCGTATATCTTCTTTGGAGAAGTGTCTGTTCATGTCTTTTCCCACTTTTTAAAGGGACTGCTTATTTTTTTCCTTTCAGCACGTTTGAGTTCCTTGTAGATCCTAGATGTTAGGCCTTTGTCAGATAAACAGTTGGCAAATATATTTTCCCATTCTGTGAGCTGTCTCCCTGCTCTCTTGATGGTTTCTTTTGCTTTGCAGAAACTCGTTAATTTGATGAGGTCCCACTTGTCTATCTGATTTCTTAAGGTGTTGGCCTTTAGGGTTCTGAATAGGAATTGGTTCCCAGTTCCAATTTTCATAAGGGTGTCTCCTGCACTTTCTAAGATTCTTATAGTTTGAGGTTTTACATTCAGGTCTTTGATCCATTTAGAGTTGATTTTTGTGTATGGTGATAGGTAGGGGTCCTGTTTCAATCTTCTGCATATGTTCAGTCAGTTTTCCCAGCACCATTTACTGAATAGGTTCTCCTCTCCCCAGTGGTTGTTGTTGGAGGCTTTGTCAAAGATGTGGGTTGGTTGAGGAATTGAGGCTTTGCTTCTGGAATCTCTATCCTGTTCCATTGGTCTATATGCCTGTTCTTGTACCAATACCAGGCTGTTTTGGTTACTGTAGCCTTATAGTAAAGTTTGAAGTCTGGAAGTGTGATACCTCCTGCTTTGTTTCTTTTGCTAAGGATTGTTTTGGCTATTCGTGGTCGTTTATGTTTCCATATGAATTCCTATATTGTCATTTCTAGGTCTGAGAAGAATGATGTTGGTAGCTTAATGGGTATTGCGTTGAATCTGTAGGTTGCCTTTGGTAGGATGGACATCTTAACAGTGTTGATTCTTCCTATCCATGAGCATGGAATATTTTTCCATTTGTTTGTGTCTTCTTGGATTTCTTTAAGCAGTGTTTTGTAATTTTCATTTCAAGGTCATATTTTTTCATTAAGTTATTTTAGAGTGCTTATTACTACACATGATTTTACTTTTTATGGTCATGTAGTATTTATCTAGTTGGTATATCAAACCAGTTTAAGAGGTTCAGGAAAAAAAGATGTTAGATGCCTTTCTGTCTGATGAAATTGTGAGAGCTACTTGATAGGGTATTGAAAAAGTTAGAGCGGGCAAATCATTAAAAAGAAAACAGATACCGTAACATTTTAAAATTTTAAGTTAATATGTATAAACATATGTTCATTTACAAACTTTTTGACATAGACTAATGTTATCTCTTTGTGGAGTTGAAAGAAGTTATTCTTATGTAAACTATTATCCATAACTCATGATCTGCAATTTTCAGTTTGGATTTTTCTCTAAAGTAGAATAAAAGCTTAAAGATACTTTTGAAAAATTCTAAGTATAGGCTGTTTCTAGCTTTTTAGGATTTTCTCTAATATTTTGCAGTTATCTCGCCTTTATTAATCCAGCACCCTTTAAAAAGAATAACTCAAAAGTGAGTTATTCTACTTAAGTTTACATTCAACTTAGTTTACAAAGAAACAACTCTTCTTTTTTGTACTTGTAGTCCATAGACTTAAATAATGTTGAATTAAATTATGTAAGAACTGTAACAAGTAAACTGACAAAAACAGGTTTGGGAACAAACAACTCAGTTGTTAAGCATGTAGTTCAACTAGTGAAATGAAAGAAGTATCTGATTAGACAAAAATAGCATACTAGTTGAGAGAGGTCAGCATGCTATAGGCAAAAAAAGTGTTGGCTAAGGCAAGACAGTTACATGGAGGTCAGTTAAGGAAGCTATTGTAGTAAAAATCTAAAAATGGGTATGCTAAACCAAAAATGATAGATTTTACTAACCCTTTCATAGAGAAATGTTTTCTTATGACAGAATTTATATTGCTTATAAAAGCGAAGGGTATACTTTGGATTTCTGTTAATATCTTAAATATGTTTATGTTATGCATTTGAGGAAATGCTTACATTATTATTATTATTATTATTTATTTTATTTATTTATTTATTTTGCATTGGAGTCCCACTCTGTCACCCAGACTGGAGTGCAGTGGCCGCTCCCGGCCACCGCAGCCTTGACCTGCTGCACTCCGGCAATCCTTCCACCTCAGCCTTCCGAGTAGCTGGAGCTACAGGTGCGCGCTACCACGCCCAGCTAATATTTTGATTTATTGTAGAGACGAGGTCTCTCCAAGTGGCTCAGGCGGGTCTCGAACCCACGGGCTCAGGCAATCCACTCACCTCAACCTCCCAAAGGCACGGGATTACAGGCTGAGCCACCAAGCCCGGCTACTCTTACATTATTTTTTATCATCTTTCATACATTTTGCTCCCTTGTCAATTCAGTTTGAAAACAAAAGCTTAGAACTGAATATGAAGTTGGAAAAACACAGAGGAATTGTTTAGAAGTGTTGATAGTAAAACTACTACTCTATCCTTAAGAGACAATTTTAAAGAAGTATTTTGAACATAAAGGCTCAGTATTTATTTTGGCCAGTATGTGATACATTATAATGTGTTTTGCTGTTGTATCTAGTTTAATGCTTTGGCTGTTTTATTTCTTTTCTTCTCTTTTCTGCGTTAACATTATTCATGTCAGAATAGTGGATAGAAATGCACTTTGTAATCTTTTTTTCTTTATTATAAAGATGTGGGATACAAGTCAGGATTAAGCACATAAGTCCTGTATGTGCAGGTGAAGGTGGGCCTCCGGCTGGCCCTCAGTCCCTGGTTTGGGATCAGTGCCCTTGGTGTCGTTGCATACCTTCCCCTGGCAGTGTCCTGCTATTGCCAATCCCTCCCTTGTGCTATTGTGATTGAGGTTCGGGTCCCACTTAATGAGCGATCACATGCAGCATTTGGTTCTTTGTTTCTGCGATAGAATCACTAAGAATTCTTGTCTCCAGTTCCATCCAATTTGCTGAGAAGTCCATGGTTTTTTTGCCCTGCTTTTTGACTGTGTACTATACCATCATGTATATACACCCCACATTTTCTTTATCCGGTTTACTTTTGATGGGCAGTGGGGTTGATTCCATGTTTTTGCTATTGTGAATAGTGCTGTAATAAACATGCGTGTGCATGTTTTGTCTCTTGTAGAGTGATTTGTGTTCCTCCGGGTATATTCCTAGGAGGGGGATTGCTGGATCATGTGGAAGATCAATTTCTAGTTCCTTTAGATATTTCCACACGATTTTCCATGGAAATTGGACTAGTTTGTACTCTCACCAACAAAAGAAGTATCCTCTTTTCTCCACATCTGCACCAGCATGTATTGTATTTTGACTGATGATGACCATCCTTACTGAGGTAAGGTGGTATTTCATTGTGGCTCTGCTTTGCATTTCTCTGATGATTAGGGAGGCTGAGCATTTTTTCATTATTCATTATTAATGTTGGGACAGAATAGAGGATGGAAATGTACTTTATAATCTTTTTTTAACCTATTTTATTTATTTATTTTATTTTAAAGATGTGGGATACAATTCGGGATTAGGTATACAAGTAAATGATCATTGTACAGGCAAAGTTTGGGCCTCCTTTGGTCCACACATTGCCTGGCTTGAGATCAGGTGCTCTTGTTGATGTTTTATGTCTCCCATCCCCACCCCATCTAGCTGTTGCCAGTCCCTTTCTTATAGTGTTATGGTAAATGCTCAGGGTCTGCTTAAGAGTGAGAACCCCTATCACGTCTTAAATTTATTGTCTATATAAGGTTACAAAAATTGAAGAATGAGGGCTATTCTTTTAACTTTCTTAACCACAGTGAGTACTATTATTTTAAAACAAACTCATTACTGAAGTTGAATAACAGTAGAACTTTGAATCTTTTTATTTTTAGCTTTTATTTTAAAGATGTGGGATACAACTCAGGATTAGGTATACAAGTGGTCATTGTACAGGTAAAGTTTGGGCCTCCCTTTGGTCCCCACTTTACCTGGTTTGAGATCAGGTGCCCTTATTGTTGTGTCATCTCCTCCCCATCTGCCCCCCCCCCAGCAGTATCCTGCTATCGCCAATCCCTTTCTTATAGTATTGTGGTAAATGTTCAGGTCCGCTTATGAGTGAGAACATGTGGTACTCTGTTCTTT